ATAGGAGAGTAATTTCTGTGTGACTGTTTAAACCAGCGTCCCTGATATGCGGTCTACCAGCCACACGCTGCGAATTATTTTACACGTAAACTAAATATGTAAATGTATAGTTACAAAAGCATGGCATATTTGATTATAAAATTAAATGGAAAAGGAAATAACAAATACTCTGGCGCTATTATTTTGTAACTTACTATCAATATTCTCGAAATTTTGTTCGATTTTTAAGATTTATTTTCTATCAGCCGTTTTACATTAAACGTTATTGAAGATAATTTAGATTTTCCTAGTAAACGTGTTTGTTTCACAAATAGAACACACAGTATTACCTGTATGATACTACAGTATTTATTCGGTTTTAAGACGTCATCAACTGTAAGTCGCACCCTTGATTTCGTAATAGGTTTTTGGCAAAGAAAGACGTTATTTGTCTCTTAGACAGCTTCAAAAGAAAGACGTACACCAATTTCAAAGATTTTAAAATTTTAAAGAAAAAAATGCGTTCTAAAATCATTGAAATCGACCCAGCAGCACCAGTTATTATCTATTGTTCTCTTACATACAAGTAAAGCAGCGTAGACTAAATATGGTGGTAAAGTTTCCTCCACACCGGTTACAAGTATGTTTACAGCAATTTCTCGGTCAAAAGCGTCTTACACGGTAAAATGGGACGCAACATGTCTAGGTTAGGTTTTTATCAGAGGTAGGAAGGAAAGGCTTGAAGAAACTGCGACCTTCAGTTGAAATCAGTCGCCGTTGAACAACAAATACGTAGACCCGTATTAAAGTGTGATGGATGATGATTACATTCAACTCAATTCTTTTAAGAACTGAATAGTAATAATTTAATTTCTTATTTTAATATGTTAACTCAACAGATACACGAGCCAATTGCAGAGTCAAAACAAATACAAAGATAAGAAACATGATAATACGAAACAGATAAAGTAAAACATTGTCGTGCATTTGTAGATTTTAGTATATTACTTTTATCCTGTACTATTGCTTTTGTGCTGCGATGCAGTTGGTCTTATCTGTTGCCAATGACATAAATTAATTTTTGTGTTATTACTTAAAAAATCAAACGCACAATATGAAACTTACAGAGCTTAATTAAATTAAATTCAATAATCCAATCCATTTAAGTGCTTGACAAAAGCTGAAGAGCTAATTACAGGGAAGCACTAAAACGCAAAACACAGTTAAAGGCAGTAAAATACGATTTAAAATTAAAAGAATGTGCAAGAAAACAGAACAGGTAATTTTATTTAAATATCTGACTGATATCAGTAAGTAAAATACAATTTTTGTCAAAGATGTTGATGCCCTTAGGGTGCATTGGCAGCAGAAACACATCTGAGGGACCCTGAAACACAACAATAACAATAATAATAATTATCTCTCCTGCACCAAACACCATGCTCGTACAGTAACTGTGCGGTGTTGATGCCGTTTACCAGCTGCGTAGTCCGTTGCCATGGCAGGATGATAAACATGTAGGGTATAGGCCCTACTGTGACATTTTTCTGAGCACTGCTTTAACAAGATCACACGACGGCGTCTAAGGTGGCACAGACTGCCCTTGATGCGAGCCTAAACATTCAGGAACAAGTGGCCATGTGCGCTGTCTGCCGGCCGCTTACTAAAATAAAATTAGTGCCTGTGACATTTAACAAGTTAAAATAAATTTGCCCTTTTGAGCTATGCCTTGTGAATAAGATTAGGGCAGTTGTATATATTAAATACGTGGAATTTGTTTCCCCAAATGTCTGTACTCTCTCTAGGTCCAGTTTGACAGGTTTGTCGCTGGTAAGTTTCCATAGAGTAGCCTTAATAAAAGTTTTTATTCGCGGAAGAGTGGTTATAGTCTACTGGCACGGCTACCCGAATGAAAGTAGGTCAGGTTCCCAAATTATCTTGACAGGTGAAGGTCAGACGTACTCTTAGAGACATGCAGGAAGTGAACTCGATACCTGACAGTGAGGACTGGTCAGGCGAGAGTCAGCGCACAGAACTGGGAAATAAAAGACAAATTGACGTTTCTCTTTTTGGACGACCTTACATCAAGACACATAATTAGTATGAATTAAAATAGCAAGCATTACAAAATGAAGGCGTATAGGGGACGTGTTGGAACACCCATTGCATTCTGCAGAACGTCGCGATGCGTCGTGGCGTCTCTTATTCGGAAGGCTTGGAGACATCTGTCGGCCTGTATAATAACTGTAAGAGTAGCAACAATATTTACTTTGGTAGGACACCATAGCAAAAATGAAAGCAGCACAAATTGACTAAAGCGATGAACGAATAGAGGGTCTCTTATCACACAGAAAATATTACCTTCAGATTTTATTGCAAGGGACAAATACAAATCGAATAAACTCTACTGGGACGATGGCGTATTTACCAGAAAGAATTATTTCTGATAATATACCGGACATATACAAAGTGTCCCAAAAATTTGTATACACACAAGGTTTATATTCCGTATTATAATGTGTATACATCTTTTTGGGACACGCTATATACTAAAAGACTAGAATTTTACTTCGTCTAGTGACATTTCTCCACGCCAAATGTAATAGTTGGCCGCTAAAAACTTTCTCTGTGAAAACGAATATTAGACCTTGCTGGCAAGTTTTAATTCAAATCGACTCCCTCACACTACTCGTAAAATGCTGGAATAACTATCTAACCAGCCAGTTCTGTTGTTCACTTCTCAACGTCTTACAAATAATTGCCTATTGGGACTTACCAGCAAAAGATCGGAGCTCAGACTTTTAGAAACAACTACAAAGAATTGAAATTCTGCAGTGTTTTTGTAAAAGGTGAAGTAAGCGAATCTTAAGAGGTCGGTAGCTTTGAAGACTAGTGCACAGGTATTCTTAATTGTGCAAGTTTTTTTCTGTTTCTGTAGTTGTGTGGTAGCCGACTGGTGTCGCGAATTCAGTTATAAAATTGTAACACTTTCTTTTAAGTTTCTTCCAAAACCATTTTGCAGCAATGATAAGACCTAAGCACTAGTACACCTTTCTTCAAACAGCCATGATTCTATTTAAACTGAACATTGTTTAGTGGTCAGTGAGACTTTACTTTAAGACTCATAAATAGGCTTGAACATGCAGTGAAATTTTCAGCAGGCTGAGAGTCTGATGGCTCCAGACGAAGAGTATCCATGAAATAACAAAGAGGCGAAATAAGACCAGTTGGAGAAACAAACAAGAGAGTAAAGAAAGTTAAGCAAATGAATCCTTAAAAAAGAGATACATTACTATTTCTTTTGGTGGAATTGAATTTTGTAAAACGAATTTTCTCTGTGTATGGCTTGCGATTCTAACAGAAAGCAGTATGATTTTGCTTTCTTTTCTTTTTCTGTCTGTATCCCTGTCAGCGACTTTGAATCCAACTTTCATACAGAGAGTAGCTTCACTTGTTTTGTTTGTTCTGCGCGTTGCCTGTAATTTGAATCCATTATGAGTGGAGTTCAAGTTTTCTGTGTTATTTTGAAAGTTTTCTGTCCGTAAATGGAGAGAGCTTTTAAATCTAACCTATGCGAAACACCGCACAGCATTTCTGTACGTTATTCAGTAATTATCTTGAATTAATTGATTAGATTATGTAAGACTGGGAAGATCTTTAATATTTTGTTAAATCTATCAAAAATAGTTCGTGTTTCTCAAAATCCACATAATAATGAACATTTTTATTTACTTTTGTAATGTTTTTCTGATACACATATCGATTCTGTGGGTATTTAACTACACAAATGAGATGCCCTTTATAAGCCTTCGTGAAATAGTTATTAGCTCATTCGCAAGATTTAACGTTACTCATAACTTAGCATTAAAATGATTAGTTTTATAATGGAGGCCATTAGTGATAATTGATATATTTTTCAGAAGCGTGGACACAGTGTCGTTTGCTTTAATATTCGTTCTCATATTTTTAATTTTAATCTGATACTGTTTTCAGTTTGAATTATGTGTATTTTTAAAGCTTGACTTTGAGAAGAAATGAAAAGAGGTGCTCACCCAATGAACAAAGGCAGTCACTGTCATCGATACAGCACATTGGTAGTGCTGCTCGTGTGTTAAGAAGTATCACTGTACACTGAATCTTTTCTGTTAGTTAACTGTAACATAAATGAGACCAAACCTTGCCTGGACTCCGCATAGAAAAACCTTTGAGTGGACTGGAGCTCAACCGATAGACAAGAAAAGAAAAAGAAGACTTTAAGCATTTCGCTGCTTGTTCTTTGAAGCATAACTGAGAGCAGTGTGTGAGTGGTGCTACTGTGAAAACAGGAAGTTTGTCTTCCCGACATGTTGCTTGGCCACACACCAAGCGTGATTTCAAATGTCACCTTTCCTAATGAACTCCACAGCTTTACGCTAGACTTAACATTCCCATCTGCCCAGAGAATTGGATTTCTTCCTCAGCCTCAATTTTTACTCTGCGTTTTACTTCATTGTCTTGATATAAACATGCAACGAGTATTCTGATAAAGAGAGCTTGAATGGTTTAAGACTGTTTAATATTCGGGCTGCCCGGATACTGTGGTGTCATTAGCCGTTACAAATAAGCCCGAACGAATACATCCAGAGGTATAGTGTCAACATTGCATCTTGCCCCATGCTTTCGTAAATTTTCAGTGTTCACGTTTTGGATTTTGTATATTTACACCAAGTCAGGTGCCCTTAACTGTAATTTATTTTTATACAGCATATAGTAGAATACGATATCACTTTTCAGCATCAGTCTTGGACCCTAAATTATAATCACATTCTTTATTCACAGTGACTACTATCGACTATATTAAAATTTTACACGTTCATCAAAAGAGAGAAACACGTGATAATATAACATAATAGAGTACTACAAAAATTAAATTAAATCCGTGGCGTAACAGCCCTCTGAGAGCCAAAGCCGACTAGCTTGACTGCTGGCCTCACGTTCACATGCCTAAGCAGAGGTGAACGATCATCCAACCAGATGTAGGGTGACGTGTGGTCAGCACGACGAACCCCCAGCCATCGCTAGCTTTCCTGACCGGATTACGCTACTCATTGTAGCTCCCCAATTTCCTCACGATGCTGAGTTGGCACCGGCCCCAAACACTGGTCGAAAGCTCATGAGAAAATTTCTTCTCCCCCGAGACTCGAACCGCCGGTCCGAAGCATGATGCAAATAGAGTACTACATGTAATTCGAAATCCATTGTGAAACAAAATGTTATAAATATGTCTCTGTTTGGAAGGCTGTATCAGTAACATATAACACACTTTCTTGTCCGGCTCACATTTGTAACTATGTACACTTTGTGGAGTGTACGTACACAACAGACGCTGTCCATGCTTCCCGAAAGCCAAGTAATAATTAGTAATTTTAAACGTTTTTCTTGTTCTAGGTCGAGCAGTGGACGTCATGTTGTCAACATCAGCACACCATCAACAAAATGGCGACGATGATGGTGGCTCGGTTACTTCTGGTGATAAACAAGACGGGTTTTCTACGACTGAAGAGCGAAATAATTATGAGAATATGATGGAACAAGATTACGACGAGGAAATTACGGATTCTGAAACGGAGGAAGATGAGAACGAGAATGATTCGGAGGTTATAAATTGTATAAGTGAGGATAATGCCAGCTCGGATATTACCATGGCCACAACAACTGTTACATCATCCACGGCTAACATTTTAAATCAGCCGCCTAAAAGGAACAAACGTAAAAACTTTGAACCTCGTAATATTTCCTTGTATGCAGGCGAAGACAACGATGCTGGTGATAAGACGTGTCAGGTAGAAGGTGGCGTTGAATGTGATAGTGATGTAGACATGGCTGTAGATGAAAATGACAGGCTATTACATAAACCTTTAGATCTTAGTGAAAATTCTATTCCACCATCATCACCCAGGCTCCAAGGAAGTTCAAACACAAACGGCAAAAGGAGACGAAAGCCAGTGATAGCGCCTCAGAGGCGTGTGAACCAATCTAACGTGTCTTCCGGTCTTGTGATGGGCGCGCCGATTGATCTGAGCTTCACTCGTAACGCTCATAGTGAAAACAACGACGAATCGTGTGGGGAAGAGGGTGATGAGCAAAATAACAGTGATTCTGGTTCCGGTGGTGGTGACGATCGAGCTATCGAAACTAGGGGTGACAATCTTCACCACCACCGCAACCTCTTACATATCTCAAATAACGCAAATCCAACTGAAGGCCATGCTTTAGCAAATGAAAGACTTTATCATCAAAGACATTATATTGATAGTAATGGTACCAGTTATCATCTTTTAAATAATCATCACAATCAGCAGACACTGTGTGGAGATCGGGTACGCTATTCTCCAAATTCACAGCATCGAGGCAATGAATCTCGACAGCAGTGTTCACCTCTAAGCAGTCTTCAACAAGCTGCTCAATCGTTGGGCTTTCATCATCATTTTCCTCCCGGCCTGACTGCAGAGCAACTTAATCATTATCACCACCATCACCATCCTCAACAAGGCACCGATGCCTCGGCCATGAAGGAATATGCAGAGAACACGATGAAAGAATTGCTTAGCATATACGGTCTGAACAGCCCGGACATGGCCGAAACCATCACCAAGAACGTCCCCATCGCAAACTTCTCTTCTGGTGAGTATTTACACAGCATTAGCCTTTAGACCCACCTCGCGGAGCGCCCAAGGAGCAAAAGCGTATGAAATACAGAACGCTGCTGCACTGTTCAGGGGCTGTAATCTCATTGGCTGGGGCAGGTTTTTTTGTTTCTGAAGAAGTTAGTTAAGTTTTGTTTTGGCAGGTAAAGTGCACTTTAATATTACAGACACGTTTCTCTTACTTTGCTGAAAACATATTTCTCATAAATAGTCATTCTGCATTCGGAAACTAATATACAAAATGTCGTATATTATGACATGTTATTATGTCGGAATTCTTATTCATTTTCGTGTAAAACTAAACACGTTTCTCGGTAAGATTATAGACTTATTAGTCTTATTTGCAAATGTAGTATATATGTAGGTTTATGTAATAAATATTGGTATGTGTAGTAGTGTATTAACGGGAATTCCAACAGAAAAATTTAGAAACGCTGAAACTTTAAATTAGTGCTTGAAGTAGTTATAAGCAGATAAAGTTAATTTGGTTTCACCATACAGCAGGAAACACTGCACACCTTTGAGAATGTATCTCATTCATCTTTCTACGGTAATTCCATGGTGTGATTCAGATGTCAGGATCCATATAAGTTGCAGTTGATCGTGAAACAAACGTAATGTATTGTTTCCTTGCCATGTGTTCCTGTCTGGCTCACACTTGTCTTATTGCATTCTGAAAGATTACATAAGAGGGAAAACTAACGACAACGGCTGTATTGATTTCCTTCCGCAGTGACCTTAAAATGAGCGTGAATTTATAAAGACAGTCTCCTTTATTGAGGCCGTTGTAGGCCTGTGTTTGTGCTGAAATTATATTTTGCAGCTTTGAGATTTTTAAACCTGGGCCATCTTCAGGTATGGTGTTAATTAAATATACAATCCTGCAAACCCCATTATTAAATCTCGTCATCCCTAAATCAAAGTAACAACTGTTTCTCTTGATATGGCCGTTTCAACGTTTGCTATTTTATTTTAACTAATATGCCCTCTCCAAGTTTCTTACCTCATTTACTCTATCGTAATTTCTCTTGCATTGGCCTTTTCTCGTCTTATTTCTTTTCTATACACTTTTGAAAATGAAATATAAACCCGTAGGCGATCAACAAAGAGTTATTAGAATAAAAGAGTCTTGATTAGAGCCGCCATTGTTCTGCACTGCTCATGATGATCTGCGCATCTCCTGGCGCGGCGGGGTGTCGGCGCCACGAACTAAAAACAGGACCCCTCGCTGCGGCTGCCAGCCATATTGAAATTGACCCCTTCCAGGCATTTCTGGGGAAGGAAGATTAACATAGGAAATAAATACGTTCTCATTTCTCAAAACCTAGTTTCTTTTTCGTTTTGAATTCTTTTGAGATTCTTTTTATTTGCGTTTCCTTCTTCCTACACAAAAGGCTCGAAATGTATCCATAACTGCGTGAATGATGCGCGTTTTTTATACAGACGTTTTAGCTTGTTCGAGAGTAATACATTTTTTCGAGTTCTTTCAAGATTCATTTCTTCAGTAGGTCATTTGCTTTGACAGGTTATGAAAATGGCCTTTACATTTTATGGATTACCGTAGGCTGCTACTTGCCTGGAGTAGCCATACTTGGAAGAAAAAAATACGTAAATTCTATCCAACTATATCAGTTAAATATATTAAAGTCAAATAGAACCTAAATTTAAAATTGCGGTGTTGAATATTTCAACTGCTGTGACTCTGTGCCTGGGACCTCGTTTGTGAAAACCAAACAACTCTGGCGCAAGTTTTATTATAGAGAAGACTATGAAAGATACGTGCAGATAGGAATTTGGTTGGCTTCAGATGGCTTAGGAGAAGGTCCGGAGTGCGTAACACTATAATTATCCCTGACATGTTTGCTACGAGGCCTTTAAATACTAGACTTTGGAATATTCATGATTTCATACGTTATAAGAATGGCCGTGGTATTTATTTATGCATTGCACTAATGAAAACTGGGCAGAAGTAGAAACTGTAAATACATAAATAACTTTAAATGTACACATTAGTCTAATGTCATTGCAATTATTGCTAGTAAGAATTTTGCTCCATAACATGTCATAAAAGACGAAATAAGTCCTACGCAAATTGCCTTCTGTTGGTTTAGTAATTAGAGAATAAGTGAAAATGACTCGTTAGAGTCATATATCCCGTTCATAGGCCTGTGCTTCAAGTATTTCTCTTTTGCGGTGCATCAAAGCGAGGCTTGTTTGATTATTCTGTATAAGTAATGGATGTGTTAACATGAAAATGTGTGGTAAATAATTACGGTATTGCAGAAGTTGCAATCGCAGAACAAAAAGTAAGTTTTGAGCAAACACTGTCTGAGATCTTTCGTTATGAAGTACGAATCATTTTAAATAAGTTACACAGCACTACTTACTTCAGGAAACTGCGTATCTGCACTACAAAACTTATCGTCTTACAGCATTGATCAAATTTCAATACCATTCCCAAAGTTTAACGTACGTATGAGTCAGTGACACGTGTTTCACGTGTAATTTTGCACATCGACAGTTATTTTACGTTCAGAAATTCACGAACGTCGTGTTTTGAAGCAGGGGAATCTGTTCAGAGTGTCAAATGCGGCGTGGTATAACTGGCATCCCGCCACCACATCCGCCCCTAGACCACTTGTACCAGGCCTGCGAAATTATTTTTGTTAATTTTGTTATCAGTATTATAAGGCCATTCATTTTTCTTTAAAGTATTTTAAATAAAATCGTGCGTTTTATCTTGTCTGCTGCTTTACGTACAAGTCCCACACATGCTGTTGAGTTCAAAACCCTGCCGTAAATTGCACATTTCCCCAACGGATCCCAGATTGTAGTAGTAATGTTCAGTACTGTCGGAACAAAAATTTGTCGCTTGGCCCCTGTGGTTGCGGTGTGACTCGGTGATATTTCAGTGATGACTTGTCTTCTGCGATGTTTGCACTGTGAAGTGTAGAGGTTTGCCGACGTTTCAGAGGTGCTTATTGCATCCATCGCATCGTTCTGATAATGGTGGTGGTAAGCAATTCTGAAACGTCTAAGATAATCGCCTTCGCGATATGACTCTTTCTCGAGGTTGTGGCTGGAGATGGTTGTACTCAGATGTGGGGATGAGAACAGATCCCGATATGATGAATGTGATTTCGGAGTCAGTGATAATACACAAAAGTAACAAAGGTAAATACTTGTGTATTTGTGTGATTGTTAATGAATTGTGTATATTGAATTAGCGTTGGAAGTCGTGATAGAAAGTCAAAATATTTTGCGATAAATATCACAAAAATGCCAATGCACCGGATAAAGAACAATGCCTGTAGCACAGTAAAGGCAACTTTGTGTTCTATAATTGTGGTGGTGGAGGGGGGGCTGGAATCGTATTCGCGGTTCGGCGTGTTTTCGGCGTAGCCAAATTTCGTTACGTATACGACAGCGAAGATGACATATCAATTCTTCGAGTTCGTTAACACTAGATTTTGTGAACTGAACGTTCGATAAAAGAGGAGTGCAGTGTCATGTGCGATGGAGTTAAAATACGCAGGCTTTGCATCGGATGCTGACGCATGATTCTGCCCCATTTCCTTGTATGGAGAACGTCTTGGATATGGGGTCGTATTTCAAAGTGCTCAGCACTTTGGGTAAGCAAAATATCCACATTGTTCACGTCTTGAATGCGCGTCATACGATTTTATGTCAATACCAAGAAATAATTTGATCATTAATCATCAGCTCTACGGTATTTAAACTTCGGTATTTCTTAAGCCGGAACATTTTTTCACATTCCATTATCCATATATAACATGTTAATATCACAATTGGGTACCGTGTTACCTAAATAAAAAAACCGCATTATGAGTTCACTTCGATTATTTGGATGAAACACGTATGGTCTGAGAATCAATAATTAAGTATAATAACTGTCATTTTTAGACTGTCCCATTCGCAGCTGAATTAGTCTAAAATTTATTCCGTACCTTATTGTTATGTTCCCATTAGCATTGACAGTATACTCCCGGCATAAAACAGAAAAGAGATAAATATCCACTAAACAGAAAGAAAAATGTTGTAGGTCTAATGAAATCAAAATGCACACACGTGTTGATACTGCATTGACAGAGAGTTGATTTGAATGTGTTCAGATTGATTGGCGATGATAAAGACGCAACGAAATATATCACCACTATTTCATAAGAGATGGAAGATATGCACTGTATAAACAGTAGCAATTTGTTCATTTCGTTTGTTTCCATATGACTGGATGCGTTTATGACCACCTGTGTTTGTGTGGCGCCACTGTCAACGTTTGATGTTATTTCCTTTAGGCGAGATGATTTGTACTTGATCGTGTTTCAAAGCAGTTTTGTTGTGTAACTTGTGGTTATTTTGTTATTTGTTAGTTTTTGCTTTCTCTGAAACGTCCGTCAGTCTCTACCAGACTACACGGCGCAACCAGAAGACAATCATCATCGCTGCCGTGAGAACCTGAAATCTTACCACAAACAAAAGTAGTTCAGAAACTCACGTAATGGGTAATATGCATAATTTCTAGGTGCATGGGCTGTCTTTCGTCACAGTGGAGAACAGGTTTTAATCGCTCTGAATCGATTTGTTGTTGGATCGCCTTGTTGAACTACTTGGCGATTTAAGTTCACAGAAACCGTTCGTCGCCGTGGTGACATGCGCGCGTGTAACCTTCATGAGGTAAACCCACAAAACACAAGTTAGAAATCATTACCAGTGGAATATTTTAACGTGTATTGTTGTGTATTATCGATCCATTTCTCCCCTTCTCTGTGCCTCCCACTACCTTAAAGCTTCTCATTTGTCTCTGAACACGATAATGTAGTAACCTGAATTATCGATCGGTCCTAAATGTGCAACTTTTTAACCCGTTGTTCAAAACGTTTCATCTCTGTCATGCTTCCATTGCTGATACGTATTATCGTACCATCTCTCATTACCCACGCTCTGTCTTATTCTTAC